TTTTTTTTTGAGACAGAGTTTCACTGTGTCGCCAGGACTGTAGTGTAGTGGCACGATCCTGACTTACTGCAGCCTCTACTTCCTGGGCTCAAGTGATTGTCCCACCTCAACCTCCCAGGTAGCTGGGACCACAGGTGTACACCGTCACACCTGGCGAATTTTTTTTGTATTTTTTGCAGAGATAGGGTTTTGCCATGTTGCCCAGGCTGGTCTTGAACTCCTGGGTTGAAGTGATCCTCCCACTTCAGCCTCCAAAAGTGCTGGGATTACAGGTGTGAGCCAACATGCCCACCCTATAATTTTATATTTATTGAGTGATTATTTATATAATATTCCCACATTAGTCTATAGGGCTGGGATCATATTTCTTTTAACACTGGATCTTCAATGCCCAGTGTTCAATAAATACACATGGAATAAATGAATAATAAGTGATCTTATGATTAAACAATGTAGTAGAGTCTCATTAAATTGACGACTTTGCTATTTTTTTTTTTTTTTGAGACAGGTTATTGCTTTTTTGCCCAGGCTGGAGTGCAGTGGTGCAATCTCGTCTCACTGCAGCCTTGAATTCCCAGGCTAAGGTGATCTTCCCACCTCAGCCTCCTGAGTAGCTGGGATATATAGGCAAGCGCTGCCATGCCCAACTAAATTTTATATTTTTAGTAGAGATAGGGTTTCGCCATATTGCCCAGGCTGGTCTTGAACTCCAAGGCTCTAGTCATCCTTCTGCCTTGGCCTCCCAAAGCATTGGGATTACAGGCATGAGCCACCCTAGACCAGCCGACAACTTTACTATTCAGTGTGGCAAGACATGGTTGTTGGAAATGTATTAAGGTGATTCACCTTTTCATCCTGACATTGTGTTTCTTTATATCCGTTGACCATTATCTATGATTCATCACCTGTAAGGCTTTAAAGCTTGGTTTAGTTTATTAGAATGTAACTTTGTCTGAACAAAGCCTCATTTCTGCCAGGATACCCTTCTGAATATAGAACCTGAAAAGGTCATGTTCAGTCTGATAGAAAATCATGATTGGGCCCACTTCTATAGCTTACCTTCTCTCTTTAGATGTAATTTGGTATAACATTTTGAATAGTCGACTTGCTGTTGTTGGGATGGAATTTGAGGTAACGATCATTTGAAGATGGAGCCATCAGTGATCATCACAGAAAGCTGTTTGCCCAGGATTTAGGCTGCCTTGGAAACACAGTCCTCTCACTGCAATGTCTTGATTGCTAGCATTTGAGACCAAACTAGTGTCAAATATCTAAGTAGAGGATACTTATCCATGGTAATTCCACGCTTTGATGTTTTTCCTCAATTACCTTGTTCTGCAGAGCATGTTGGTGAGATATGTTATGGAACAAACAGATCAACAACCTGTGTGGTTTTTTTTCTCTCTACAATTATAAAAAATGTTCTAAAAGCATCTGACGATTTTGGAATCCTGAATTATGGGTTTAAAAGAAAAGATGAACCTTGCTGATGTCCTCTTTCACTGATAGACAGGGCAATTTACAATAGGAAAGTTTGTGTTTGCTTTTACTTTTTGGAAAACAATGAGGATTCTGCATTCAGAGGGCACTTCAGTAGGTAGATTTCAGCATAGATGGAAAAGCAAACAGTTGATCATTCTTAAACCCCGGTAGGTCAGATCATGTCAGTGTTTCCACAGTACGCCCAGAATGGTAAAAGTTGGCTTTAAGTTGAGTTTTTGCTAAAAGGCAGCCAGTCCTGAAAAGGATTGATTTATTTATTTTGGCCTTGGCAACATCTAAATGATGATAAGTGCAAGTTTCTCTTAGCTCTCTGGAGAGGCTCCCATGTAAATTGGTTGTGACCCCTAGAATCCAGAATCCCTAACATAGTTGGATAAGAGTATTTTGTGAGGAAATCTAATTAATAAGTAAAGATTCAAAATTTTAAATGTTTAGAAGTGTGTAATTTGCTACTTTTGTTCATGAGTGTTTTTAATACTTCTGGTAGAGAGCCTAACTGCCTCTTTCCTCGGGAGATGTGGTTTCAGTTTCTTGGGTGAATGTGCATTTTATAAGTTTTTTAAGAAAGGAAATTAAACATTAAAAGACTTTAAGTACTTTACTCTTTACATAATGTCACTAAGAAAAAGCCAGGAAAATCAGGGTTGGGTTTTAAAATTTATTTATTTAATAAATATAATCTATTTTCCACCATTTTGTTTGTTATGGCTGGTACCAAAGTACTTTTAAAAGTTAACATTTATTATGATTTTGTTTTATTTCAGCAGATGTGCATAATAAATTAACCTATCTCTATTCTTCATTTTGGGCTGGGGCAGCATTTAACATCTAGGTTTTTGGCATTCTGACACACAGGCTATTTAGTTTAATTCAGCATAGTTTGATGTTCTCCACTTGTATGATATTTATGATAGTATGTGAATAATGTTAAGTAGATAAAATGTGGTCTGCTGAGGCTGAATGCTCAGTATGAGTATAATACAGGTACGTGACAGGTCCACTGGGGGCCTGGGGTTCTTCTGTAAAGTGAGTAGTTTGGGGTAACTGGTATCCAAGCATCCTTCTAGATTGAATTTTAAAATCCCACTAATTGATATGCGTCTAGTTGATGCCTCCTCTTCTCTCTTTCTTTGTCTTTTTAATGTAGGAAGAGAGGATGGTGATGCACCAGTTACAAAAGATGAGACCACCTGCATTTCACAAGACACAAGAGCTTTACCGGAGAAATCCCTGCAAAGATCAGCAAAGGTCATTGCCTACAGATTTTCTTCACATGTCCAAATGGCTCTCACCTGAGCTCCTTGTTGAAGATCTTGTGTGATTCGTCAGGACTGTATTTGTTCATTTAATCAGAAAAGTTAGAGCAGAGAATCATAAAAAGTGAATTTAAAAAAAAAACTTTAAACATATAAATATGAATCCATCTGCCTGCCTTTGGATAAGGGGTCAAGGCCTTTTCTTTGAGTGTGGGTGTGTTGATTGGAGTTCTATGTTATCTTTGTTGCTTAAACCACACTTGTAATGCCTTTGGATAGGGGGTCAAGGCCTTTTCTTTGAGTGTGGGTGTGTTGATTGGAGTTCTATGTTATCTTTGTTGCTTAAACCACACTTGTAATGCAGCATTTATCACTTCCAGTTTTGGTGGAGTGAGTGGAGTGAGAATTAGACACTGGAGAAGAAGTATGAATATAGACTCTCTTCAGATTTGTGCAGTTTTTGCTCCAGTTTTTTTTTATTGTTACCATGCCCATACCTAATTTAAAAATAATTTTTAATGTCTTTTTTAGTTTTTCCAAAGTACTCAATTTAGTTTGAAACAATTGTTTTTATATTCCTATTTCACCATTTTGCACAATTCACTTGTATTCTTTAATTATATAAGCTAGTGTCATTTTCAGATGTGGGATGAAACACAGCTGACTTCTTCTTTTGTTTGTTTGAGGCAGAGTTTCACTGTTTTTGCCCAGGCTGGAGTGCTTGGCGAGATCTTGGCTCACTGCAACCTCTGCCTCCCTGGTTCAAGCGATTCTTCTGCGTCCCGAGTAGCTGGGATTACAGGCGTGCACCACCAGGCCTGGCTAATTTTTTGTATTTTTAGTAGAAACGGGGTTTTGCCAGGCTGGTCTCGAACTCCTGACCTCATGATCTGCCCACCTCGGCCTCCCAAAGTACTGGGATTACAGGTGTGAGCCCACACGCTTGACCAAATACAGCTGACTTCTAACTGTGCAGATAGCTCAAAGTGGTAGAAATGGTGAAGGGCAAAGTATAAAGTGGCATAATGGCATGAGACTTTATGTTTCAGAAGCATCCATCAGTGTGTTTCATCTGGGAATGCAGTGTGCTTACTCTACCCAGCAGGTTGGTTAGTAGAGTATTGCTCTTGCATACTGACATGAGGAATTTCTAAATTATACTCTGTATATTTCAGTACTAACTGTGCTCCAGGCAACATGCTAGGTGTGGGAGATTAGAATGAATGGAAAGCCTGGGGATGGATCTGGCTCACAGACCTATTTTGTTTGACCTTGCAGTATTTAAAAATTTTGACTTCATTGCTTTCAGCAAAAAAAAAAAAAAAAAAAAAAAAAGAGTCATCGGTGTGCGGGGGTGGGGGTGTTCACATTAAAAATTAGACTTTTGGCTTCTCTTGTCAAAACAAAACATTTGGTAACACTAGGCCAAATTCCTAAATGACTGCAGTCAGAGCTGAGTAGAGGCAGCCCTGGAACCTGTGTTCTGTGATTTGCTACTGTCCTCCAAACATGTTTTCCCTCTCCCTTCTCCCTTGTCCCTATCTCCCTTTCTTTTGGATAATGTTTTTAGTGGATTCAACCAAAAATCACAAGGCAAAACAGCACTTGCCTGTGAAACTTATGCTATGGTAGAGTCATTTCCATGACAATCAACATTATATGAATTGCATCTAATGTAGTAATGTCAACCTACTTTATACACTTCCGTGCTGTCAGACATTAAAACAAGAAACAAGAATCTCCAGTTCAGACAAGATGGCATAGACCTATTTTTTCTTGCTCCTCCCACTGAGGATAACTGTAAACCCTGGAAAAAACAAGAGGCAACCAAAGGAGAATTCTAAAAGGTGAAAAGAGGAAGGCAAACTAGTTTCGCCAGTACTAGAGAAACATCATAACAGGAGGGACCTCACAACCCCCCACCAACAACAGCAACAACAGAAGGTGGCCCAAGCCCAGTGTTTCTGAATGCCAGCCTGGCAATAGAGGGTGGTCCAGCTAGACTCATTGTCACCCAGATCTGACAGAAATCCCTCCAGCAATACCAGGCAATCCACAGCACCTGTAAAGAGCTCTAATGACAATAAGTGGTTAAGAGAAGGGCTTTCCTTCCTCCCTGAACCTGCAGCTTCTCTTTCCCACCAAGAGACATCAGGTATCTGAGTGGCTCCAACAAGAAGGATTCTAGAAGTGGCCCAGCCCAGAAAGCCTCTTTGTTTCTGTGGGGCTGAGACTGTCTGTTCAGAGGCACTGAACATCCAGAGACGCTGGGTATCTACCCAGAAAACACCAGGAAAGGTGATCTGGCCACAGCATGCAGTCAGGTATGGGAAGCCCCCATGTTCTCACAGGCAAGAGAACTTCCCTCCTTCACCCAGAGATACCACGCAGCTGGGTGGCATTAGCAAAGGAGATCTGGTCATAATGTGTGTGTGGTCCAGGAAACCTCTTTATCCTTGTGGACCAGAGACTTCCCTCTTCCACTCAGAAACACTGGGCAGCCAGGTAGCACCAGTAAAGGAGATCCTGCCACAACAAGAAACCCAAAATGGGAAGCTTCTTTGTCCTTGCAGGCTGGAGATCCCCATTCCACACTTAGACCAGGTGGCCTGGCTTGGGGAATTTCTTTCCGCCCACAAAGGCAGTACCAGTAGAGACCAGCGGGAGCCCCAGTGATACCATATAAACCAAACATACCAAGATAGCACTGCAAAGGCTGTTTTCCAAGGAAATTGTCATTGAAACTACAGCCCACAAAAGTAGGTCAGGACCTGCATGCTAAACCTCAACAGGGTGTGTGACTGCCTTCTAAAATAAAAGATTTAAATGAGACCCAGAGTGTCTTAACATGATAACCGAAAGGTCCAGGATACAATTGGAAACCACCCGTCATACCAAGAACAGGAAGATCACAACGTGAATAAGAAGACAATCATTTGATGCCAGCACTGAGCTCTTGCAGTTACCCAACAATGATTTCAAAATAGCCATCATAAAAGTGCTTCAATAAGCAGTTAAAAACTTTCTTGAAACCTTTGAGAAAATAGAAAATCTCAGCAAAAATTTAGAAATTATGAAAAGGCCGGGCATGGTGGCTCACGCCTGTAATCCCAGCACTTTAGGAGGACAAGGTGGGCGGATCACCTGAGGTCAGGAGTTCAAGACCAGCCTGGCCAACATGGCAAAACCCTGTTTCTACTAAAAACATACAAAAATTAGCTGGGTGCAGTGGCACGTGCCTGTAATCCCAGCTACTAGGGAGGCTGAGACAGGAGAATCACTTGAACCCAGAAGACGGAGGTTGCAGTGAGCCGAGATTATGCCACTATATTCTAGCCTGGGTAACAGAGCAAGATTCTGTCTCAAAAGAAAAAAAAAAAATTATAAAAAGGACCAAATGGGAATTATAGTCCTGCAAAGTACAATAACAGAAGTAAAAACACTATTGGATAGGCTCAGTAGTAGAGACGACACAATAGAGAATCATTGAACTTGAGGACAGATCAGTAGAATTTACCCAATCTGAACAGAGAAAGTATAGACTGAAAAAAATTGAACAGAGCCTCAGGGAGTTGTGGGACAACAAAAAGATTGAACATTGAGAAAACTGGAGCCCTGGGAGAGGATCAAAAGAGTGAAGATGAAAGGAGAGATTGTGCAGAATGGGGACAGGTGAAAATATATCTTCAGAGAATTTAAGGTTCTAGCAAAAGGTGTATAACAATGTATAATGCTATCCATCTGTACAATTGTAATTTCTTTGCTGATCAACTCTATACCTTGCGTTTAAGGTTAGAGAATACTGGTGCCTGAAATGTTCCAGGACTGAGGGTTTTTAGGGTGAGGTGGTAGAAGGATCAGAAGAGAAGGCATTTGACAGCTTGAGTAAGAGGACTTGAGGTGATAGAATATGGTGGCTCAAGGCCGGATGCAGTGACTCATGCCCATAATCCTAGCATTTTCAGAGGCCGAGGCAGGCAGATCTCTTGAGGTCAGGAGTTTGACACCAGCCTGGACAACATAGTGAAACCCTGTCTCTACTAAATAAACAAATTATCCAGGCGTGGTGACTGGTGACACATGTCTGTGGTCCCAGAAACTCAGGAGACTGAGGCAGGATTGCTTGAACCTGGGAGGCGGAGGTTGCAGTGAGCCAAGATCACACCACTGCACTTCAGTCTGGGTGACAGAGCAAGGCTGTCTCCAAAGGAAAAAAAAAAAGTGTGCCTGTGGTATTGGTATCGTGTGTGCGCGTGCACACACACACGCACACACACGCTGGCTCTGGGAAGGGAGGAAAGGATTTGAGGCTTAGACGTAGCTAACAGACTTGGAGAACAGGCAAGGGTTAAAGGTGCTAGAAGTCTTGATGTGGTGAAAAAGCCTGTGGAGTGCAGTACTGGAGAACAAGTGAGCTGTGTGATGGATTCGTCAGAGAGTGGGTGTTGGAACTGGACTAGTTCCAGATGATGCTGAGGTGTGGCCATGAGGACGAGTTTTTGAAGTCAAATAGAAGTGAAGGTTGCTGGCATTGAAGAGATAGGGGAACGGTGAGGACAGGATGTTGACTAAGTTACTCACCTAGGTAGACGTGGGAGGGCCAGATTGTAAGCCAGATTTCACAGAGTAACCAGGAGGCCAGGAGATGATAATAACAAGAAGGGGACCACCTGAACCAGAAGAGGGTGCACATACATGCATGAGGCTGGAAGAGTAAAGGTCTGGGCGTGGCGGTGCAGCATGGGAAAACGCGGACACCAATTTCAGGGGCCGTATGTGGGAAAAGGAGCATCCTCTTCCCAAATGGGCTGGGGAAGACAGTCCTTAGGACAGATAGTTACATGCAAGGAGGAGGGGGGCGTCCCACAGCCTTCTTGAAAGAGGGTACAGCAGTTTGTTTAAAATAGTTGTTTTTCAGGGAAGAAGGAAGAGTTAAGAGGGAAAAAGTAGAGCATGTTTTGGGAGTGAGCTTGCATGAGAAGACGGTTGCCCTAAGGTGCTCTCCTGTGGGGTAGTAGCTGGGAGTGACTGGGGGAGAGGTGTGGTGCAGTCAGCTGGTTTGGAGGTTTCCTGCAAATGGGCTGAGATTCCATATGGAGTCAGGGACATAGAGAAGAACAGCAGCCAGCTCAACTGCAGGCTGAATCTTTGTTCAGGGGTCTGGTGGGATGTCGGCAAGCAGCTCTGAGGAAGGGATGAACCTGCAGACGGGCTACAGTGGGGAAAGGAAGCACTGCAGGAGGAATGCGTTCGGGGGGTGGGGAGTGGGTGAGGGAGAAGACTCGTTTTCTCGGAGAATACTTCTCTCTCAATGGAAGTCGCATGTGTATGTGGTGGAGCGGTGACCTCAATCTTCATCTAGTCAAATTAGAGCTTGGGTTTAATCTTGGAAAGGAGGAAGATCAAATATTTCTCCTTTCAGCTGTTGAAGACATAATTAAGAGAAGTAATTTATGTCTAATAACCCTTTTTCTTTTACAAAAAGCACCTACCGTGTTGTTTCTGTGAGATACTGGTATTGCTCATGGGAGAAAAGTATAATGTGAAACAAATACCTGGAGCTATACTTCCCTGCTGGAGTCCCACATGTCTTTATAAGACACAGGTCATGGTAATAAAAGCTCTTTGATTTAATTCATCCATGTATTGCATAATTTTTCTTGGATATATATGCTTACTAGATACTTGTTGCTACTTAAATATAGATTACTTAGTCACAGATCATCACTGAGAGGCACTTATTTTGACCTAGAAAAACTGCTGGTTCCTGCTAGTTGATCAAATTATAACCTGCTGACCTCTCCCAAGTGTAATTCAGTACTGCAGATAAACAACATTGACTATATCTTTGGTGTTTTCAGGTGGTTTACATCTTGGAGAAAAAACATTCTCGAGCAGCAACTGGCTTCCTCAAACTCTTGGCTGATAAGAACAGCGAACTGTTTAGGAAATACGCCCTGTTTTCTCCCTCAGACCACCGAGTGCCTAGAATTTATGTGCCTCTCAAGGACTGTCCCCAGGACTTTGTGGCACGGCCTAAAGATTATGCCAACACACTGTTCATCTGCCGCATTGTGGACTGGAAGGAGGACTGCAATTTTGCCCTGGGGTAGGTGATCTCTGGTAGGAAAAACCACAGGTGACAGGCAGAACTCAGTTTAGGTGGTCTTTAGGTAAACTTTTTGTGTATTTTAATTATTATTTCTTTATTGAAGCATAGTTCCTGGTGTATTTTGGTCCTGATTCTTCAGAAGTCACTCTTAGCTGCCACCTCAACTGGTTGCCTGTATGTTCCTTGAATTACCAGGCAGTCACATTTTTGTTTTTGTTTTTTGGTGTAAAACATGAGCATATTCTGAGCCTCTAGTTATTTAATGTCATATGTCCTATTTGTACTTGTGTACCACAGATAATTCATTGCATCAAACAACCAGTCCTCTCCTTGCAGATGCTAGTGTTAAACCATGCAAAGTCTAGACATATTCAGGAGACCCCAGGTTCCTTTGCTTTAAAATATGAACATGAAGGTATATTTGAATGGCATTCTTTTTCGGTATTGATTTCGCCTATGGCATTAAAAACTACCCTATTGTAAGAAGGAAAGGGGTACCATGTTTTTGTGGAAGCTGTCAGAAATCAATCTAACTTAAATATACATGACATAGTCCCAGAGCATCATGGATGGCCACTTCATTTTGATCTGAAGAAACTGCTGGACCTAGTTGCTTGACCAAATGCTATGCCTGTTTTCTTCTTAGAACTGGTATTCATGTTGAAAGAAAAGCAGTAAGTTTTAGCTATGTCATTAAGTGTTTATTATAGATGATGTCTGGTTTATGCTTCACAGGAAATGACTATAAAGGTATACAATCTAGAAAAGAACCTGTTGATTTACTTTTATTCTAGTTTAATGTCTTGCTTGTTGGTCATCTCACTTGTACAGGATGTACCCTCCTGGGAATGTCCTATGATTAGGAGAGTCAGCACTGAATGGATGGCTACAATGTGCTGCTTGTATCAGGTTTATTCCATACTTAGCTTCTTATGCCTAGCAAAATAAGCCAAATCAAATGTGTGTGTTATATATAAGAGTGTTTCATATATAAGAAACACTACCCTGTGCCACTTTTTCAGTTATATGAAGATTGGTGTGATTTAAATGATCTCATAGCTACTTAGGAACAGTTGTACTTTCTTTTTTTCCTCTCAAGTGGTGTGATTGCAATGTCATCATTTTAAAGCCTAACTCATTATCCAAAAGTGATGTCAACCCCTTGAGCCCTAAATAGTCCTTCTTACAAGCTTGCCAGTTTCTCACCATCAAATCAAAAGGCCCAGTAACGGTTGTGCCACCTGGTCCTGTTGATTGTGCAGCCACACTGTTTGGCAGTAAAAGAGGAAGACTTTCACATCAAACCAGGAAATCCAGCCTTGTTTTTTATCTGCCTTTCTGTCATATCCCATTGTGTGTACTTGATTGGACTGCTTCCTTAGTTTTCAAGTTGTAAGGGTGTAGTCAGGAAATCTTCATAGTATGAGTTTCTCTTATTACTTTCATGGCCTTCTAGGTCTTTTTTAATTTTTATTTTTTTATAGCTGAGCCATTACTTCATCAGGAACCCTTTTCTTGAAGGTAAAATACAACAAAAAGGGAGTCAAGGCTTTGAAGCCTTAAGCACATTTGCTGGCTCTAAAGAAATAATATTTAAAAATGATAGTCGTTTATTATATAATTTTCAAAATAAAAAATGAAGATAATCATATCTAGATGGAAACATCATGTTTTTTCTCTACCTTCTTAATATAAGGATATAAAAATTATCATTTATGAAAATATGCCTTTTAAAATCTTTGTGAAAAAGAGAAAATTTATTTTAAGAACTAAAATATGGTAGGTTTTCCTGATGAATTTCTCAGATGACGTCTGTTGTACGAGGGGTGAGGGCTGCAGCTGTTGAGTATGTTGGTGGTCGCCTTGCCATTTTGTTCTGGTTATCCGTTACTGATCTTTAAGAACTGAGGTCACTGTTTCTTAATCAGAACATGCTGTGCTATGACTGCCTAGGTTTCCTCCTTTATCTTTGCCAGGCTTTGACCAGGAGTGTGATGGTAATACCTGCTGTGGGTACGAAAGTGTGTGGTTAGCTTCCACAAAAACTATCCCTAAAAGTCAAGTTTAGCTAAGGTGGCTTCCTTCTGAATTTCTTCCCTACTCCTATACCTCTATCCTTGAAAGTATTGGACTTCCTTTGCCTATGTAATTGCTTCTAATTATTCAAGTTCAAAGTCATTTACCTCTTCTGTAGTTATGTTTAGTTCACCAGACAGGTTTTGATTCAACTACGTGTAAAGTACTGTGCTATATTATCTGAGAAATACAATGGTAAACAAGCTATGGATTCGTTATTTAAGGAACTTATAGTCTAATGCAAAAGGATTTTTGCATATACATATATCATAGGGATAATTTGATTCTAAGGAGTGGAATCCCACTTGAGCTAATTTAAATAAAGTAGAGATTAATATAAGAAGCTGGTGAGCAGGAAATTGAGGAAGTCTCATGAGAAAATCAGAACTAACAAGGCAACAAAGGAACCACAGTTTCTCTTTCACCCCTGTGACTAGCCCAGCCACCACACAGTATCTTTTCTTTACCCCTTTTTGCATATGAGCTGTGTTATTCTGCTTCTCTCTGCACAGTAGTCTTCTACCTGCACAGCAGCACACATGGCCCCAAAATGGTACTGCCAGTCCTATGGCAGTTACATACTAAAGTCTAGATCACAATACAGAATTTCTGTGGTGGAAAATCTTACTGGTCTAGCTTGAGGCAGGTATTTTCCCTCATCAGTAGTTTCAAGCAGAGGTGGGGGTCCAGAGTCCCATCCATGATTCACACCCAATTAGCAGCGCTGTGGGACTCTCTGGGAATGAGCATGGATAAAACAGATGGCTTGAATGGCTTATCTCTTTGAGTTCTACCTATAGTACAAAACAGAAGTTGTAAGTTCTTCCATAGGAATAAAATAATTTGGGGGAATTTAGAGGAGGTCAGTGAAGGGGGAAATCCAGGATCATTTTTTACAGGACAGAGGCCTCTTTGCTGAAAGATCACTCTGAGAGTAAAGAATAGATGAGGAGGGACATGCCTAGCAGCAGGAGGTCATAATACACTATTGCAGTAAGACAGATGAGATGGGAGAACCTGAAATAAAGAGTTGCAATGGAGGAAACAAAAGAAATGAAAATATTCAGGGGAGATTAAGAAGGTAAATTTTCCCAGATGTGATGACTAATTAGAAATGGGGCATGAGGGAGAAGGATGGAATCTTGGATGAACTTTCAGGGCTCTGACTAGGGGGAGTGGGTGGATGCTGATGGCACTTAACCACAATTCACTGGGAGCCATCTCAGTTCCTTCCATGGTCTTCACTATCAGAAATCCAACTTGCCATTTCCCAAGCTGACTGTGTATGTTCATAGTTCCAAACTTTTGCACGTTACACTTCCTTTCCTAACAGTGGCTTTCTCCTTTCTCTAGTGTTTGCTTGGTGAAATACTCAACTTTTAAACTCAACTCAGTTGTCCACTCAAAAAATGTTCCTTGACTCACAGGCCTCCGTTTTGGTGCTCCCATAGCTTCTATTAGTACTATTATTAGAGCTCTCATCTGTTTGGATTGCAATTGCTTATTTGTTTTACTTGGCCATGAGCTCCTTCAGGACAAGGACACTTAGTGAACATTTGCTGACTGGTCAGATGAGTAGATGGAAATGAATTGATGACCCCAATGTCTTGAGCCAGGTTGACTAGGAAGATGTTGCACCATGACTCAAGCTAGAAAACACACAAGGAGTAATTTGGAACAGAAAATGATGAGAACTAAGGTTCTATGACTTCAAAGTCCATGCTTGACAATAGCATACAACAAGTATAAAAACTCAGATGGAGAATGCCAAATTGAGAAGGCACAGATATTTAACAAAAAAATTGAATAGAATGCACACATTAATGGAATATATGATGTTAGTAGCTTTGGAAGGATCCTTAGGGAGGACATGGAACTCGGCCTCCTCTTTGCTGTAAGCATTGCTTCTCTGACACCCTAGTGCTGCCTTGGGGCCACCATTTAGGGGCAGCTCAAAGAGTATTACAACATTGGAGACTTCCAGTTGTTATTATTTTCTATCTTGTTCTTAGAATTGTCATGAGAGATCTCATTTGAACCTTGTTCACCTCTGTATACATCACATCTACCACATTTTTATGAGTCTTAGTTCTGTAATGCTATCTAAACCCAAGTGAGCCCTTGCTAGCTTTTAGGGGTCACTGTTTTTTGTTATACATCACAACATATTTAGTACCTTTAATATTTAGTACTAGACTCTGGTCCAGGATAATTAAAAAGCCACATTGGCTTCCTCGCTGGAATGATCTGCAATTATATAATCAGATTTACAGTTTTAAGAGCTTCCCAACCCTCTTAAATCATCTTTCCCTTTAGAAACTCTTACAGTGGAATTCATGCCTATATTTTCTCAGACCTCTGGGAAATCTGGTATCCTAAAGTCTGGAGTTTACAGTTCCAGCTTCTCTTTCCAGGATGTCATGAGCATAGAGATATCATTGTCACTTTCTCCCAGATTTGTCGTGGTTTCTTCTTGAATATTTAAGGGTAAATCTTGAATAAAATGGGAAAATTTTACAGCAGCTACTGTGAGGAACTTAATAGTGTTTCTTGGCAACACTGAAGGCTAACTGAAGATATATGGCATGAACCGACCTAGAGCAAATTGACATATTTATATTATCAAGCAAAGTCTGGTGGCTTTGAGGGTGGAGGAGGAGGAGGAAAAATGAATAGGTCAGTATAGACTGAGAAGTTCTTGGTTGAACATGGAATTGCCTAGGCTTAATGGGAGGCTGTGGAAATGAGAAACAGAATGGGTTACAGTGCTGCTGGCTTTAATGAGTGTGAAGGACAGCAGGTTCCACTGGAGCGGATGATGGAGTGAGGTGAAAGCAGAGGAAGGGAAATTCTGACCTTGGAGGACTGTGGTAGAGATGGGAAGTAGCGGGTGGGGGTCTGTTCTGGTATCGCCTTTGTCT